TTTTTGGCTATTTTTCGCATGAACATTTTACATCTTATGTCCATAGAGATAATTCATTTGTTTAATAATTGAGTAAAGACAATTAAAGTCTAAACAAGAATACGACGACTTTCATTATGCAGTGTGGTGAGAACTCTTATTTTACGTTGTTCTTTTGCAGCACACATCGTTTCACGGATATTTCCGTTCGTGCAATTGCTGTCTGTTATACATGAATGGGTGGTTGTACGATGAGTGAATTCATCATGAAACTGTTTTATTCTGCAACATAGTGTGAGCAAGAAGCGTTCCATGGAAGAAATAGTCCTACGAGATTTATGCCAACAACCATGATAGTGAGTTATACGAATGAGGTCTATCGGGTTTGGAATTCAGAAATAACTACAATATCATTCAACAAACAATAGACAATATGAACAAATGGCAAAATATTCGTATGAAAAGAGAAGATTTTAATATACACCGGATCAGTGTTCCTCAACATTGACAGTTTCGCTCATCAATGGTTTTGGCTAAACAGAATTAATTTTTAAAAATTATGGTAATGGTTCCTTCTCTTTCGCGGAAACTGCTATCATCTATTAGTGTACTGGAATGAGGATGGAGGCCGATTTGGCAGTAATCTAAAATGAGGTGTGCGATCGATTGAAAAGGGTNAAACTATAGAAGGCAACTAAGTAGAAGGCAACGATCACTGAGCAGACAGTATGAAGTTACTCAGAACGAACAAACCTTTAATAAGAGGTGTTTGGGTTGGTCACTAATACATGAAATAATGAGACCATTCTAAACGAGAACATATAAGAGAATAGATTCCTAGTTAGACATGCACAACTTTAGTGAACATCGAAAAAACGATGTCAGTGCTGAAATGGAACTATCTTTAAATGACTGTATAATCAATCGAAACAACTTGTTAATTTCATGAATACCACATGAACGATTTCGATGTTTGCGATTAAGGTTTGCAAATCTGTGCATAAATAGAAATAACTCCCTACTAACGTCTGAAAAAATTTCAGAACGATGACACTGCAAAAGGCCAACGGTACTATAGAATATTATGAAATGAAGATTTCAGAAAGCGAACGCTAGACTTGTTTCTCGTCGATCGCAATCTTAGGATAATACTTTCGGATGGATGAATCCATTGCAACTTCGACGGCTGTATCGATCGGTTTCACGATGAACGGTATTGAACAAAGACCGATTGCTGTCGTCGTCCATTTACGTATCGGCAACGGTAATGAAGTTGTTCTGGAACGTAATTAAGGGTGCTCATTAGGTTTTTGATGAAGACAATTGTGTTGAAACGATACTCATTTGATGTGATCGGACATTTGAGGATTGAGCTCAATATAAAATAATAAAACGTTCGAAACATTGAGAATAACCAATTACACGCTGAGAAGTTTGGCGGTGAGCGCACAAAGACGATTAATCGTAAAGCCGGGAACGATAACTGAGGCAAAACTTTGCCATAGAAGTGTATCAATCGCAGTTAACCCAACTGCCTTGCAACGCTCTTCTTCGCTCGCATATTTCAACTGTAATCCATTGATCAGGCAGATTATTTTACAATCATCATTCTTATATCTTCAGTTTTCAACTAATTAGTTCAATCTTTCAAATCAGATACAATCTGCTTCTGATTTCGTTCGTAACATCCAATATTCATTGCCTGTATTCCTCGTTGGTGGACAGAGAAAATCATCGCAAATTGAACTTTTCGAATGGAAAATTGAATGAATAATCAATCGGCGGACATACCCGCAGAGATTTTCGGCTTTTATCAGCAGTATCTGCGCAAACATATCCAAATGACACTACATACGATAAACGAACAAAATTAACGGGAATTAACGCTCGAAATGATTCGCCGACTTCATTTGCATAGCCTTAAAAAATCGCTTTAATAAAACCGAAAAAGACAAGTATGTGAGATCAATGTTATGCATTACTGTTACCATTA